CTTTATGTGCTTGTTTTCAACCAGGCCTCGAGCTGCAAGAATACCTTCTTCCAGATCGGGACGCTGTGCGGAATGGCCCTGTATAACAGGTGCATGGCGCCCTTCCCCTTCCCCAGGGCTCTCTACAAGAAGCTGCTGGGCCTGGCGCCCGCCCTGGAGGACCTCGAGGAGCTGCTGCCAGCCGCAGGCCGGTACGAGCCAGGCACGGCCCGGGCTTTTGCTGGGAAGCTACGGCCGAGGCGGGTCTCCTAGCTTGACGGTGCGCACGGAGATCTCCCAGGCCGTATTCAGGGTACCCGTGGCAGCTACGTTTGCCGTTGTGGAGCTGCTAAAAGCCACAGATTTCCAAGGTGGTCCTTGTCCAGGGCACGGATGTTGCTCTCGAACTGAGGTTCAGACTTGGAAGAACTAAGCACCCAATTACTAACGTTGTGTTTTTTTTCTGATTTACTAATTAGCAGTTTCCACGATGTTGTTATGCACAAGCAGAGTATTACCATATGCTGCAGTTCTGCCAAATCTGAGAACCCGCGTGCAGGGTTTCCATGCGCTGGGAAAGGCGATTTCAGGCAGATATAGCAGGGAGGGGTGCTGCTGCCACCAACATAAAGCTTCTAGGCCCCTGAAGCCCAGCTTTCCATGCAAGTCCTATAAACAGCCGAGAAGATGAGAACCCCTTCCCACGAGCCTCAGTGGGACAGTGGGACTCACAACACAGTGACTGTGTTGAGGTGCAAAAGAGTCCTCAGTGGACCGAAACGTCAGGTTGCCTGCAATACTTGGAGAGGTGCTGCACCCCGAAACAGTTCTCCCAGATCATCCCACTGGTCCACACTTAATTCCTCACGAGGTGATATCTGGAAGAACAAGGCAGTGGTCCAAGCCCACTTGCCACTGAACTTTGTGTAAAGTTATCCCCACAGGGCGTGGGGATGGACTTGCCTGGAATCCTTTGCGGTGAAGGCATTTGCCCTCAGCTCATGGCAGCAGCAGGACGTAAGCTTATAGATCAGTTTAGGGCCATATACGAAGGTTCTGTGTGAGTATAGGTGTTCTGTATGTACGTGCATTTAAATACTGTGTGTCAAAGGATAGTTTTTAGTGGAATTTGAAAGTGCATTGAATGGTCATGTTTCTTCTCTCTTTTTTTGCCCTTTGTTTTTCGAAAGGAGCCTTCGGAGAATTTTGGATGAAGAATGTGATCATGTCCTTGAGAGCCTGGACATGGACTTCACAGTAAGACATTATTGCGTCATTCAGACGTGCCATGCATGTACTCGGGCAAGACGATGTCCCACTGCAAACGACACAACTTGTCTGTAAACGCAAACTAGTAAGAGTGTTATGTCAGGCCCTGCAGAAAGAAAGAATGATAGATGTAGCACATATATATCTGTCATTTATAGATATAGCATCCAACGTTTTCATTTATTTGTGTAGATAATGGAAGAAGGAGGTTCCATGGTTCCTGTTGATCTTAAAAAAAATGGTGCTAACATTCCTGTCACTAAGGATAACAGGTCAGTTTTACTTTTCTTTTTCTTACCCTCTTGTCTTGTTATGAGTGTATGAAACACCATGTCTATACCCATCCCCATATACTCTTAGAAAATACTGAACGTCAGCATTGTGCTGTTGGTCTTGGTCCAATAGGTTGTATGCTTTCGGTTCTTGCTGTACGTGCTGCATATGTGCCAGACATTGGCAGTTTGTGCAAGCAGTGGATAAGAAGGGGATCTTTGGGTGTCCTGGCATCTGCATATACAGAGTTGCCTGGCCTTATCAGGGAAATTCCTTACAAAGATACAAAATACCCCTGAACAATATTTTCAGGGAAATACAGACAACTTCTCTGGGAAATCCAGCTATAGGTACACCTCTATAAGGTTTTTTTTACGAGCAAAATGTTTCCTGTTTAGTTACATATATGGAACGTATCTTGTATATAACAGAGAAGCAGCAATCTATCAATAAGGTATTGTGTCAATATTAACCTCAGCACAGGGGACAGAGAGAAATTCTGTGGCCTGAGTTACGCAGATGATCTGGGGACCCATAAGGATGCATGAAAGGGCTGTTTAGGAAGCTTGAAGTCTAGCGTTTACATTGAGTTGATTGTACAAGTACAGAGTCGCTAAACAAATCCCCATCACAGAGAGAAGAGTGAAACTGTACTGACTAGCAGCTGTGCAAATATTTATTTTGATTTCAGGGTAATTCTTGGGCATTCAGTGGGAGTTTTGCTGAATTTACACCATTTAGGTCTGCTAGGTTCCGTCTTAATAGTGAAGTGTCTGGTAGGATTTCGTTGGAGTGTTCACATGAAGTACAAGGAGTATTATCAAAATGAATCCACGGTGGCCAGCATTCTCTTTTATTTGTGATGATCCTCCCAGCTTATTCAGTGAATAAATAATTGCCAGTGACGACTGCTCTCGGTGAAGACTGAGTCTTGACAGTAGAGCAGGTCATACGGAACAAAGGAATAAGGAATAAAGTTCTCTATAATTCTCCTTTTAAAAAAGCAGCTATTGCATTGCTTGTTTGATTCAAAATATATTTGCAGGAAAGAATTTGTTGACTTGTATGTGAATTACGTGTTCAATGAATCGATACGGAAGCCGTTTGAGGACTTCATGCAAGGGTTTTTAAGAGGCTGCCCAGCTAGAAAGTGGAAGATGTTTCTCCCTGTGGAGCTCCAGACTGTTCTCGAGGGACACACAAAAATTGACTGGCATCTGCTGGAAAAGGTATTGGATGCAAGCACAGTGTACTTCTGCTGTATCTGCTGAGCATAAACTCCTTCTGACCTGTTCTTTCGTTGGGTGCATACGTCATGAACAGAAAAACAGAAGCTCAAGGGACTTTCTCTTTTTTTGATTTGTGTCGTTGTTTTGAGTCTGTTTCTAATCTACATCAGGTACAAGAATAAAGGGGACTAAAAATCAAGTTGTAGCTCAAGGATTGTCATATGAATCTTTGAAAAACAAATGAACAAGCAGATTCCAGAAGTTAAGGGGGTTTGAATAGCTATGAACAGGATTATAAAATTTATTGGATAAACTGTTGTTGCTTTAAATAAAAATGGAAATAGTGAGAATTAACTGGCCTGTTTTATTTTTATCTCTTCAACAGAATGTGACGTACAGACACTATGGAATGTTAGATCAAACCATCAGGAATTTTTGGACTGTGTTTCACAAACTCCCAGAAGAAAAAAAGAAAATGTTTCTTGGTAATATATCAGGCATTCTAAACTTTTCATAGCCTTTTCCTCTCCCCCACAACACATATTTTAGATGCTCGCACATGAAAAACACCATAGTTTCAAACGGCTTTTCGACATTTCCCCCCCCCCCGCCACATTTTCTAGTGAAAGCCACAAAGAAGTGACAGAAAGAATTGCACAGACACAGCTCTGACCCTCCTCACATCCCTTGAGGCTTGCCTGAGTGCATCTGACCGCCTTGAACCTTGCCAATTACTTTATCCCTTACTTTTGTGGTTATCAGTTGTTGGTCAGAGGCCTCAACTTGCGTGAGCAGACTATGTTGGCGTAAGCAGTTTAGCTTTCTCAAAGGATTGCAGAAGCTAGCTCATCCTTTTTAAATGTAGAAGGTCAAACCTAGCCTGGCTTTTCTCATCCACAAAGCCTATATAAGTAAAAGTAAAAGAGGGTTTATAATTATTATGAATCAGCAAGGGGCTTTATTGTATTCAGGTACAAATTCAACAAAGCAAAATAATTAGCTTATGGAAATAGCCATATTTTTACACTAATTTTCCCTCATGATTTTCATCCTCTGATAACGTTATCTTGTTTTTATTTAATTTGCTAACTTGTTTTTGTTTTTCTTTTTCCCCTTCCTTCAGCTTTTTTGTCAGGATCTGATCGAATCCCTGGCTGTGGACTGGAATACTTCAAATTTTCTATTGTAGATCCTCAAGTAGAAAATCCAGATGAAGTCTATCCTTCTGCCAGTACCTGCAGCCGCATTTTATTCCTCCCCAGATACAGCAGTAAAAGAATACTCAAGAAAAAGTTGCTTTATGCCACAGAGCATAATGAAAATTTTGGCTTGCCCTAACTCTTAGTCAGGAGCACTTTAAAGCAAAAATAAGAAAACAAGTCTTTGTTTCATTTGTCGTGTTTTTCTCTTATTAACTCCAATTTACAGGTTTCTACCCTGCCTTATTTCTACTGCACTTTATAAACACTTAAGTGTGTGTATTCACTGAGATTTTATATTGATTATAAAAATGAGCTTAGACCAGATACCTGATGGTTAGATTATAAAGTTAGGAAAGAAGAATCCTATTTAACACGCTTCCAAGAAGCATGCTGATAACCAAGTATATTTACATATATGTGCATCCTGTCTGCACTGTGCTGGTCTTGTTTAGTTGGTGAGATTTCAGCAGCAGGGATTCTGTGATTTGTACATTACCAAACATACAGCCAGTACATGCTAAGCAGTCATCGTTGCAAGAGGAAGCTAGGGCAAAGTTGTCATCTGTATTAGTTAAGGATTCTCTTGGGGAGCAACTAACGCTAAGGAGACATGTTCCTGCAAACTGTGAATTGGAGGAGCAGTCCGTGCTCACCCCGGATATGGCCTTTGACTTGCCTGAGAGAAGTTCTTAGGATGAGGATTTGATCATTCCTAGACTTTGTCAAAAGCTGTATTTGTAAAGCATTAATGGACTTTTTATTATTTAGTGTGATAACACTGCGATATTTGTCATGTTTCTTTGTATCTTCTAAGGAGATGTTTGGCGATTACATCAAACAAAGTTTTAGGCTTGCAGAACAGCTCTGTCCTCAGAACCCTGTGGACACGAGGCTTGCGGGGCTGCTGGAAGCTCATTGTCGAAACAGTGCATAGCACTGGCAGGATATTGACAATGTCAGGCAGGATCTAAAGGCAGGATGTGTATTTTTCTGTATATTTTGCTTTAAGAGAGAGAGACAACAATCATGATTTTTCAACAGTCTTCTCTTTGGTGTGTTAAATGTGTCAGTGAACATACATATGTAAAGAAGACTTTTACTGTGTTGAATTAAATGATGATTGATTAAATTTCCACACCTGTAGTTGTGTTCTTCCTCCATTATGCAGCTGCCTACGAGTGACAGCGTATCTGTGTTTTCTGTCCTCGTTGATACAGGGAAGCCATTCACAAGAGGAGTCAAAGGCTGATGTAAGTGTATTTCAGATAGATGCATTGCATAGGCTGAACAAGAAAAGGTCTTTCATGTTTGGTGCAGAACGTGCTTTAGGTGAATGTAAAAATTGAAAGCGAGAAGACGACAGCAATTTTTACTTCCTGTTCTGTCTTGACTTTGTGTTGGGTATCTCTTGCACACCCCCTTGGACCACGGAGGCTGCCTCTTTGAAATACCAGTAAATTATATAAACCCTTTTTGGAAGTGACTGTTAGGCTAGTGCTTTTTTTTTCTTTAGGGAAGTAAGTGTTTCCCAGGAAAGACATAGGCATTATTTATGAATTTCCAGCTCAACAAAAAGGACATTGTTACATATTAAGAAAAAGAAAGCTTCCTTTTAAGTTACAGTATAGTAATTAGTAAAGAAAAACTTCAAGCACTCACCTCAAGCACCAGGGCAGTACAGGAAAGTCGGTGGCACGGCAGTGGCGATGGGAAGAGGGGAACTAGCGCCTCGGAGGATGCCAGCTGCCAGCCAAGGGGAGCAAGGGGACATGGCCCGCGCAGAGCTAACCCCTGTCCCCCTCGCCCGCCTGGGGTAGACAGAACACCACAGGGATGCTTGCATCCTCTGGGAAAGGCACCACCCTGCTTCAGGTGTATTTTTGTGGAAAGAGGGAACTGGCAGAAGCCCAAGCTGTTGTCCCCATTGAGCTGGAGGGTCCCCATCCCACGCCTGGCTGATGCTGCCACACCATCACAGTTTTCTGTCGTGACAGCTTAGCCTGCTGCTCTTCACCAGCCTGCTCCTGGCTGCTTGCTTCCTTTTTTATGTTTTTCTAAGCCTCTGTTAGGGCTTGGGAGTCCAGAGTGATCTTCTGTGCTGTGCAAGTGTACAAAAGATGTATTCTGTTTGGATTTCAGAATAACCCATTAGAGATTAAATGATACTAGGTTTATTTAGAGCCTGGAGGAATTTCCTTCCCATCACGTATGATGCAACGTCACACGGGAGATTAAAGCTCAGACTAACTTTCAAGGCTATTTTTAATTTGTCCTCAGATAAGCCCTGCTTTTACTAAAAAAAAAAGACCTTCAGAGGGAGCAGAGTAGAGCGCTCCTCTGTCATTTTCTGAAGTTAATTTGAGCACCAAGCTGTGTCCACGTTTTCTCAAGCAGTGCTCATTATAAAGTATGCAGGGGAATACAACGTGAGTGAGCCTCCCGCTCAGCTGAGTTTAAAAGGCTTTATACAGGCAGCAAGAGTGTATTGAACCTGCAGCAAGAATTTTTTTTAGACCACTCGTCTGATCTGAATGTCACCTGTAGAGAAGCGCGAGAGCCTGGCAGAGCAGCTGATGTAACCAGGGTGGATCTGAGGCAATCAGGACACCCCGTCAGCTTGTAAGCCATGAGGGATGAAGGAGGTAGCCTGGTGAAGTGTGTTAGGAGTGAGCTTCGTGCTGGTTTTGCTGCAGAAGATGCCACGCAAGAATACCACTTCCGTGGGAGGTAGCGGGACCTCGCCTTGGCTGGCTAATCCCCAGATGAGCCCCTCTGAAAAGCTCTTCCCTAACATGGAAACGTCCAAAAAAGAAAAAATACAGAAGAGTTCATTGCTTCCAGAGCAACACAGAGACATCAATGGCCACACAGAAGGATTTTTCCTACCCATAACAGCTTTCTGGCCCAGATGCCTGGGGCATAGACTTGTGGCCCATGCAGGCAGTTTCCCTGCGGTGGCATGCTCTGCGGCCAGCTTTCCTCCCCTCCTCAGGCTGCCGTATCTGTGAACAGCTCTGACAACAGGCAGGACTGAGCAGGCATAAAGCATCACCACCTCCGCACAGCCCTGTTAAAAGGTCCATGCCATCGCCCATTGGAGCAGAAGGCTACGGCACCTAGTGAAGGACTCTGGGGGAATATACCTACTGGAAGAGGGTTCACAGCGCAGGTGAAAGCTGCCAGCCACCCTGTCTTCCTTTGTGGAGATAACTCTGATGAGTAATAACTTGTATTGCCACAACATTCAGGAGACCTCACCACATGCTTGCCCATGTGGTTCTTGACACTGGACTGCTGTTCAGCTGCTTGGGGGAGAAGAGAGGTGCTTTGGAAATCAGGATGAGCTGCAGATTTTGGCATCTCTGGATATCTTCAGACCTGATCTCTGGATGACCTAACCCATCAAAGAAATGGTGAGCTGCATGTTCTCTTCTGGAGAAGGTCCGACCTCGCCATGGGCCTGCCTAGGGAGATGTGGACTCCAGCCTGACCCAGCCTGATCACCCTCAGGTCAGGAAGACCCATGGTGCGATGAAACCTGGGCTCTTATGAAGAAATCAGCAGAGGTAGTAGCCTCCAGAGGGAGCTGTGCACAGCGGAGTGCGGGGACACGAACAGAATAGGTTTATTTTGGTGTCTTTATTTAATTTTATCCATTTATGAACGACCAGTCTTGAAAGTTCTCCACGAACCTGAAACGTAACAGTTAGAAATTGGTTTAAGCAAGAGAGTCCTGGCTCCCTCAGACAAATTCTGGGCTTTGCTCCCTCATCTACTTATTTTTTTCGCTTTTGTGTGTGTATCTTCCCCTCCTTGATTACTCAATCAGAAACAGAGGAAACCGAGTGTAAAGGGAAACGCTGACTATTTTGCAAAGGTCTCCAGATGATGAAATAAATAAAACAAAAACAAACAAAGGAAATATTTTTTCCTCTACGCTTTCAGTTATTCCAGAAGCTGTTTGTAACACTGGTTAAGTAAAAGCTATTAGGTCACAGGTGTAATTTTACACTAGAGAGTAGCTCTTTTTATGCTAAACATGCATGATGCATGCAAGTACAGGTGAATTTTTATCTGATACGTGACACATTGCATGCGAAGTATGCAAACACTGCAAACTGTCAGAGATGTAGCGTAAGGGAGATGAATACTGCGGGCACTCGACTTACTTTAGGGACCTCTTCCCCCCACCCCGAGCCCTTGCAAACATCTCTGTGTGGTTTGCTCAAATACTGACCGTCATTTTGACAGTCTGAGTGGGATCCAGCTTGCACATTGCTCTTGTGGCATGCAGAGTCTTTTTCTAGTGGATGGCATTAAAATCAGAAAATGAGTACTCAGGAGTTATGTAATCGCTTGCTCATTGGCCTCTTTTTTTTCCCCTCTTTCTCCCAACAGAGATTTATACTTTGACCACAAATATTTTCCTGAGGTTGAAACTCTGTATGAGTTCCTAAACAAACAAGCCTGCCAGGTGCCTAGAGGCCACATAAAATGCAAGATGAAAAAAAAAGGGGAGGGGAAAGGAACTCACTAGTGTTATTAATAAGTGATATTTCATGCTTAACAAAACCGAGAGTCATTTTAAACAGTGGAAAGCTGGCTTTCCCTTGAGACCTTCGTTTAGAATAGCTTAAATTCTAGAATATCTGCGTACGCTTAACTTGCCCATTGATTTCTATTGTCTTTAGTGCAGCTACCCATCTGCTTAGCCCGTAAGACTTGCTAAATCCCTCCAGTCACAACCCTCGGCCGCAGTTTGCGGCGTGAGCTGGTTATCCGTAGTGCTCAGCCTTTGGCAGCAGCCTCAGCTTCCCTGGCACTTCCCCACCAGCGGGAACGCGGGCATGCCGGTTGACCGCAAGGAGCTCTGACCCCAGGCAGTGCCCTGGCTTCGGGGAAAGGAGGTTCCCCGAACAGACCTTCCTGGGGGACGAGACAGAAATGGCAACACAACGTCCCCGAGGAGGTGTCGTCCCCCCTGCCCCAAGAAGCAGGCTACAGGCGCGGCCAGACGCCAGCAGGCCGGGGAACCCC